TGGCTTTCACGATGTTCCCAAAAGCTTTCTCCCTTTCTTTCTTGTTTGTGGTCTCAATTGATTTCCGTATCCACTTCGTCATGATCTCTCGTAACTTCTGGTAGGTCTTATCCGGATCCTTATCCAACATGTTGTCGTACACAGACAAGTCTAACGCCATAACTTTGGAATCCTTAATCTTATCCCAAAGCAGGTTGCGAAGTGCTTTGTCAGGAAGCATGTCATCCGCATCCATACCTGATATGATCTCATCCCACTGTCCAAGGAATCTGGATAGTTGATTATCCCCAGGGAACTTTAGATCGAATAAGTGCTTGGATGCATACATCACATCAACGTTGTCGGCACTCCGGAAACTATCGACGATCAACGCTAACATTTCTCGTCCCTTGACTATTCCAGGAGTTGTGCCTCTCGCACGTCTCTGCATCATCTGCCTCACCTTCAGTTGTACGTCATGAGATCTCTCACCTGCTGCGTGGATGATCGTATGTAGGGTGATACCTAGCTTAGCGTCTATGCTAGCGAATCTTGCTTCGCCTGATGTCTCGAGTAGAAATGGGTCATATGGTGATCTGAAGGCATCCGAGAGCCATTGGATCCAGTCTTCTTGTTTCTCGTCGCCCGATGCCGTCACGACTGCCGCTACAACCTGGGATTTCCAAACCTCCAGGTCGTGTATCTTGGGCCATGCAGGGATGTTGATCTTCTCGTGTTCCTTCCGAGATATCTTGGAGCCGCCTGAGCTAGAGGATGAAGCGGCACCATGTTCGGTTGCGGCTGCATTCTCTGCACTTGTGCGCTCCTCTTCGTACCTCTTCCGGTACTTATTCCTCTCATCTCTGAGCCGTGATGCATGCGCTTCGAATTCCATCATGTCCTGTTGGTTCTGCATCATACCTTCGTAGTACTCAATTGCCTCTTTCTCCTCGGACCTTAATAACTTTTCAGTACGTTCAAGTTCCGCTCTAAGCTTGGTCATCATCTCATTCTCCACACTGGGTTCTGATCCCATGTCTGGTGGTTTCAACTTCAGTGCGACCTTCAATTGTGCTTCACTTGCGCTTGATTCGATCAATTCTTCCTGAAGACGTTTCAGCATCCTCTCTTTACATAAAATGTCCTCTTCCAACATGTTCACCTTGGCTTCGGCCTTCTTGAGTTCGGCGCTAGATGGTTGAAACGGTCGATCGGATCCTTGAATCCTCGTCTGAGTCAACTCCTCGTTCGCCTTCTTCAATTGCTCTCTGATGCTCAAGATGAACTTATCCTGAGTATTAGATCGGTTGTTGAGATCCTCATTCTCTTCTGATAACCATTTGATCTTGTTTGCATACATTGCTTCCCTCATCTTCATCTCTTCAGCATATTCGTGTTTGTTTCTGGCACTCTGCCTTTGTAGTCCAACTAACTCCTGTCTACACAGATCCTTGACGTTCTCAGCATCTGCGATTGTAGTCGTGATCTCGGTTACGGCTCGATCTCTTTCCGCCGATATAGCCTGGATCTCTTCCGTGCCGATGTTCACAACTTGACTAACCATCTCTGCGCTGTTGCGATCAGCGTACTCCCCTAACTGGGTGAGACGATCCCGCATTGCCACACGATCAGTGTCCATCTGGTATTGCAGGTCGTGTGCTGCTGAGAGCAAACAGTCTCTGGATTCTGTAAGTTGGGAGATTCTTCGTTGATTTCCATATCCTTCGACATAACATTCTTCGAGGTGTGCCATCACTACTTCGTGGACTTCGGTCTCGTGTTGTATAATCTGGTTCTGTCTCTGCTCACATTCGACCATCCATGCGTTTTGGTGGTTCAACATATGCACTTCGGCAAGTAGTTGCGCACACTTCGCATTCAGGTCTCCATCGGCCCGTGCTAGTTGTAGGTTGTCAGTGCTTGCCCTTGCTCCATCTCCAGCTTCGCTGTCCGACGGCACTGGTACAGCTGACCCATCCTCCAATGCTAACACTCTCACAGCTCCGGTGTCAGTCCTCCTCCTTGTCTCCCTAGGGCTACGGCCTGATCTCGGTGTCCCCCCCGGTGGTGTCGAGTGCGCTGACGGGGAACGACTTCGTGCTCTACCTGTCGCATCTTCTCTCACCGCTGTCAGAGTCTCCGCTTCGATCGTACCTGGACTAGAGTTGTGGGATGCACTCATCCGATCTGCGGCCGCAGCAGCTGCTCCAAAAGATGCAGTGCTGGCGTCGGATTGGTCCATCTTCAGTGACTGAGGGTAACTGATCTATCCGATGCGTGTGCGTTTAGATGGTGTTGTGTAAGGCCGCAGCTCGTACCCAGCTCAAAGGAGTCTGGATACGGCTGATAACCTGTGAACGGATGGAAAGGTGTGCCCTGGCCCCGTTCTAGCTCTTAGGTCAACATGAAGCTCGCGCGCTAAAGCTCCCTTTTACCTGGTTGGGCACTTGAGCCAAAAGTATATGGCATGTACCTGTATAGCGACTATACTGGGACCCCATCCCTGTTGACAACACAAAATGTTGAACAACTAACAAGATGTTTGTGCTGCACTGCATGTATGTGAACGTGTTTCGGCGGACTCACAACATGATGTTTTGCTTGTTGCTGGATTGGAGACTGTCTGCAGAGTTATAAAACATTGTTCTCGCCTAACAAGGGCCCATGACTTCTTTAGACGTCATTCAGATTGCTTCTTCAGGCTTTGATTGCTCATAGGAGCAAGGACGCTACTAGGGGCTGTAATTTCAGGCAAGGTTCTGCCATAAAGGACCCTGACCTGCCAGCACTTGCCTCCCAGCAGGTGATAGGGTTCTTGGCTCTTCAACGGCGATGTCCTCAACATCTGCGAGTTCCTCTTGGCATGGCTTGGGTCTGAGGCCGCTTGCTGCACTAGCTGAGCTCGCTGCCCAACTTGTAGCGATTGGTGTAGCAATCTTTGGCTGCGGGGTGAAACTCAGACTGTGATAGTCCTTTTGACTCAGTGCTTCAATCACTTCTGCTTGTCGTTTGAGCTCAAGGCTTTTTGTGTAAACTTGCTGCTCTTCTTCGTCAAGTCTTCTGAGCTCCGCTTGTAAAAACTCTTCGCGACGAGCCGCCTGCGATAGAAGGACCTGCTCCACTCGAAGAGCAACCTCTTGCTTTGACTGCTGAACACGAAGAGCCTCTCGTTGGCGCTCCAGCTGCAGGGCTGCAGCAGCAGCTGCTGCTGCTTCTGCTGCTGCTTCTGCTGCTGCTTCCGTCGCTGCATGTGCAGCTGCTTCCTGCTCCTTGCGCTCCTTCCTTTCACGCTCAATGGCCTTCTGTTCCATCTCTTCCCTTTGAAGTAGGTGCTTCAACTTACAGAGTTCTAGCAGTTCCTCTTCTTGCATTCTTCGAATTGTGTTCTGCTCTGCCTTCACAGACAGTACTGCTTGTTGCAAGTCTTCCAGTGGCCTGCGAAAATCAAAGTTTGCCAGAGGAGAGACATCACGCACCGAAGAAGCTCTGCTGGGCAGCAAGTCATCTACTAAGTTGTCTTGCTCCAAGTTTTGTTGCTGAAATCTCTCCAACGCATTGCTTTGCTTTTGGAGCCGATCGATCCGCTCTATGAGGCCAGCAGGAAGCTTCATCTTCAAACGCTTGGCCAAGTTCAGGTCATCTCGCAACCTTTTGTAATGATCTTCTCTGCTCTCATGATTCTCATGGTGTTCTGGCCTTTGCCTTTCACTCTCACTCTTTGCCTTGCCCTCTTTAGTTCTACTTCTGTGAGCCAGTTTTGGAAGCTGCACTTTTAGCATTCCTGGGCTTGGTGGAAAAGCCACCGGCTCCGGAAGCGACTCAGAGGGAGTGGGCCTTGCTATTTGATGTTCAGCATCCCACACGCCAAAATGCTCTTGAAGGATCGGGTAGGTAATGTAGGTTGGCTGACTCATTTGACTTGTGACGGGTTGGCTAGTGTGGCTTGCCACTGGACTTGCATGAGTCACAAGTTGACTAGTCTGGCTTGCAACTGGAGTGATGTGAGTTGTGACTGGTTGACCCGAAGGGCCATGGAAAGCTAAAGTCGAGGCAGTCGAGGCACTTCTTCCGACCAATCCAGGACTGACAGCGCATTGCGCCGGATAGCTGATGGTTGCGCTAGGGCTAGGGCCGCTGGGGCAGGGGTCTGGTAGTCTTGGGCCGATTGGGTTTCTCAAGTTGCGATATGGATGTGTCAGTGTGGTTTGGACGTCAAACGGAAGTGGTGTTGGGCTCGAAGATGGTCTGCGACGCGGCCTTTGCTGGATTTCATGAAGTCGCTGCAGCTGAGACTTCGTCTGCAACCTTATGCCGCTGCAGAGTTCATGAGTCTTTGCATGTCTCAAAGCATGCAAGTCCAAGAAACAAGGGAGCCACCATGTTTGACCTGCACAAATAAAGCTGAGACTGATTATTTACTTTTATTATGTGCTCAAGTTGCAGCCTTGATGAAGATGTGTCAAACAGGTCAAGGTTTCCAGAAATCTCCTGCTGCGAAAAGGAAAAAACTGACATTGCAGAAACTAACTGAACATCTAAAACAATTTTGATGCTGTGCCAAGGAAGGCAATTAAGGCAATCCTTTTACATGGCAGAAGGGCACGTCTGGCACGCATTGGTAGTTTTCTGGTTTCATGGCTCAGATTGTTTCTGTCACAAAGACCTCGTTTTTTGAAATCAGCATGATTAATCAGCATGATTAATACCATCGTGTATTCTGTTGAGCAGTTTTGCAAGCGACGTGCTGGACCTCCATGTGACTGCTTCTATGATGTTTCTTGCCAAGTCAACTCTGTGAAGCATCAAGAATGACACCGGCGGATCGCGCGCCTGATTCTGAATTGATTGAACTATTGCACCATTTTTGGCAGGAAATGTTTGCAAGATCCTTGGCGCCCTTTCAATGAAAAACCATGTTTTTTCCCATAGAACGGAGTCGTTGCGGGATAGAACCGCACTAGTTCATCGATCGAGCCGATCGAAACCCCAGGTGAAACGTCTTTCTTAACCAAGCTCGCCATCTATCCAGCAGACATTGTCCCCCTTGACAATTGCCTCGGCGTGCACGGCCCGGCGAAACACAGCTCCAGCGATGAGTTCTTCCATGTGTGCAAATTTGAAAAGGAAATATACATAGATATACAAAATATATAAATATTAATGCATTATATATGGGCACGCAGAGCCTGCTGTCCCGGTGGATGACAGGCTCTGCTTCCGCTAACCCAGCCTCGGCCAAGCACCGTGACGACCCAAGTTCTTACACTTTCCAGCAAGTCCAATCGTGTGTTTACTTCTAAGAATCTAGGAACCAGCACTACAGAAACTGTTAGAAACACGGAAAACAGAATTGGACACTTTTTGACCTGGAGGTAGAGCGCTGGCGGGGTAGGGTAAAGTAGGAAGAGGTAGCTCCTCCAAAATAGAAGGAAGGGCGCGCGCGCACACTGGTAGCGAATGGCCTGGCCATACAGCGCCAGAATACTCGTAGTCTTTACAAGTCTGGCCAAAGACGGTTTAAACTGCTTACCAACGCAACCTGCCAGGAACGCGACTTGTCCTTGATGAAGCAGCGTCTCAGCGGATCTCCTTCATGTGTGCATGGCCGCGTTTGTCTTTGACATTGTACCTTCATTGGACTCAGCTGCTCTTGCGCCTGCATATGTTGTCGCTTGCAGCATCGCTGGCGTCATTTCAATGATATGCAGTCTGCCGGGCGGCGTCTTCAACCAGGAATGGAAGTTCCGACACGCTTGCTGGCCTTCGCAAGGGTTTCGTTGCATTTTCTGGATCAAGCTCTTTGCGATCACCTTGTTGTCATCTTGCGTTGAGATTTTCACGCCAGCTTCCTAGGGTTGTCAGGATAGCTCCTTACAGTGTATCTCTTGCAACCAAGTGTTTCGGAAGAGGATACTGTAAACCGTTAGAAATGGAATCAACAAACTCCACGAATGATCAGCCGCCTGGCCTCTTCTGGCATTCGATGCAATCCAGCTGAGCCACTTCTCCCCTGGGTTGCACTCGGCCTTCTAGTGCTGTGGATTTAGATTTGGAACAGTTCCAGCTTCTATGAACAAAAAGTGCGTTGGGCACCCTTCGAACGCCATTCAGGTCACCGTCCAACAACACAATCCGATGGCAGCTCTATGGTCACAGTCAAGAATCTCTTCACCCGTGGTGTGTTACAGAATGGACCCGTGTTTGTTTTGTTGTTCTTCTAATATTTAAGGCCACTTCTCTACTGCCGAGTGGCTTGGTTGTGATGGCTATTCCTCAATATCAAACCGTTGAAAAGATGCTGAAGCAGACTGGGGTAAACTTTCTGCCAGGCTTGTGGGTTGCCAAATTCGGATTCCTTCGCAGTCATTGGCGCCGGTTCGCACGGCGTGGCTCTGTTAGCATCATCATGGCTACGTTGGCCTGTACTGCGGTCTATGTTGGCCAGCATTCTGTATATGCCGTATTGAAGTTGGTTTATGCTAGCGCCAGGCTGGACCATGGACTGAGAGTGGGAATAGTCTATTTTAGCAAGAAGCCTTAGTCAGGTGTCTGCAAAGTTTTGGGGGCTTGGTTTCTTTTCCGATGCGCAGTCCCTGGATTGCCCTTGTCAAGCCATCCGTTTGCACAGCAGTAGAAACGACATGAAGAGGTCAACAGTAGTAGTAGAACAAGTGGCGGGATGAACAAAAATGCTGATTGAGGGCTGCAGAGACCTCCGGCGCTTTGATTGAGACTGACATAAACCAGGTTCAGACTGCCCCCTATCTCCACGCGGCGTGGCTATGTTAGCATCATGGCTATGTTGACCTGTACGGGCGCAGTCTATGTTAGCCTGCGTTCTGTGTATGCCATATTGCAGTTGGTTTATGTTAGTGTCCGGTTGGACCATGGACTCAGAGTGGCAATGAGTCTATGTTGGTGATGTTAGTGCATGGCCGGAAATGGCCCTTGGTAGCGCCAATACCGTTCCCCAGGAAGTCACAAGAGCAAGCGGTCCATGTTAAATAGCATCTGGATTTTGAGTTTGGTGCATGTTGCTTTTCACCGGAGTTTACAACGCTTCCTGACTTTTTGTCGACACTGCCCCTTGCGGAGAAGGAGTCCCAAGTGTCAATCAACTGCCTACAAAAGCTCTGACCACTTCAAAAGCCATTTGTCTCTATCTGCTGCGGAAGGCCATTCGCACGTCGTCTCTATCTGCCGTTCTCACCTCTTCAGCCGTTCAACCCATGCTCCATCAATGTGCACCCACCAAACAGGCCACGCAGGCATAAGGTCCTTGGAAATCTGTAGCTTCTTTGCGGGGGAGGGTGCTGATGAATGGGTTGGTAAGCTGGTTGTGACGGAGGAAAACAGCACTGATCTTTTCGGACGGGACTTTGCTCGTGATGCATGTCTCTGAATTCATAGACAACGTGCGCAGGCGCTGCGCTTGACTGCTCTGTGCGCTAGTGAAAGTGAAAGTGAATGAAAGAAAAGGGGCAGGGTGTAGGACATGGCAAGCTTGAGTGGCTAGTAGTAAGATGTAATGTAAGATGCAGTGGCTTCTTCGAGCTTGCATGATTGATTTGGTTCCTAGATTCTTAGGCAAATTTAACAAAATCCTCGGTCTTTCTGCACCTCTTCACCTGCAGCGAAGAATTTGTGCTGCAACCTGTCAAAGCAAATATTGAATATTTCTGCAAAGCAGCTAAACTTCCAGCAATTAGGCAACGCATTCCTTTAAAAGCACAGATGGGTGGTCCTTTGCAAACACATTGTGTCTGCCTACCTTCCATTTATTGCAATGCTGGAATGGTACCCAGTGCAAACAAGGCACAGCTGCTTAGCAGAAGGTCGATCTATCGGATTGAACCTGCAGACTTGTAAGGCACAGAACTCATGGAACCTTCATGCCTTTGACACCTTTGGAAGCTAAAACAAAGACGCCTGAGGCACGCATTGATCATGTCCACACCTCTAGGCCTGAAAAAGCGCAAAAAACAATTGTTGAAAGCTGCAATTATCACAACATATGTACTGTATTTGGACAATGTTAGAGTCAAGGGTGCATCAAAAAACACCATTCTGACAATAAGTTCTGGGCCCAAGCGCAGGTGCTTTGCATCGCACATCGACTAGTTCCTTCAGCAAATTCCACTGACAATGTCAGCATTCAATCAGCAAGGGGTGCTTCACTCAGAATTCCGCCGTATTGCTCCACTTTGGAAACTCCTAGCGCCAACTGAATGGTCAGCTGAATTGCAGGAATGCAATGCAGTTGATGTGCCACTTTGCCTGAGAAAAATTGCGTAGTGTGCTGAAGCCGGGCCAAACCTGAGGGGAAAAGATTATATATATATACATATATGTATATCTCCTGCACTAACTCAACGCCAATTTGGCCTCATCAGAGGGTGTCCCCAAACGGCGGAAGATCTTGAAGATCGTGTCCTGACATGTTATGAGTTATGAGTCATTATTAAACGTTTGGGTCAAACTGCATGGCTTTCATTTGTTTCCGTCAGAAAGAAGGAACCAGTGCGCGAAAGCTGAGGCGGAATCTATTTGGCTATCTCCGGGAAAAAGGACCTCCGTGAAGATACAGCAGGTAGTGGGTAGCACGTGAGACACTCGCTGGCCTCCGCAGTAGCCATCTCTGCAACAATGCAGCCCAAGGACCAAATGTCGGTTGGTGTTGCATACCTGAGAACCAAGGAAAGCAGTAAAGGAAAAGACTGGGAATTCTTAAAATGCCCAACTAAGCAAGGGAAAGGCTATACTATACCATGCCGGCTGCACTCAAATGTCGCTGGGGAATCGACTTTCTGTGCCCCAGAAGGATCTCTGGTGCTCTGTACCAAAGCGTCACCACCTGCCACAAGACCATACGACGGCCACGCCATTTGCAGTACTCACTCACTCCATTCTCTTCTCGCAAATGATCAATCAGCATGCCAGCAGAATGGGTACTTAGCTGATAGTTGTGTCGGAACAATCATTGGGCTCGGCAGACCTCATGAGTGTAAGCTCGCAAAGGAACCTGGCGCAAGGCGAAGACACTACTCTTCGGCATCGATCTTATCTGGACGCGTGCAGTTTCATGGCACTGCACTTCAATGACACCAAGTGCATCCATTGGACATAATTTCATCTCTCTTTCTTGCGTGTAAAGGCACCGAGAAAAGCCGAGCAAGGCCAAAGTCCGCAAGCTTTAGGTTTCGGCCAGTTGAATCCACCAGAACGTTCTGTGGCCTTGGGGACAACTTATTGTGACTTGTTGCCATTGGCCTCACATCCTTTGTCGAGCTAGGAGCAGCTAGGCTAGGACTCATTTTCTGGTAATTTGCAGGACATCTCTACACTACTGGAGGTATGTTCGTAGCGTCCTTGCTCCTAGTAGATATGCCCTTTGTTACTTGCTCCTAGTAGTACGGCCAGGAGCTACTAGAGTGTCCATTGTGGGAGCATCTGAAGCACCTCTTGTTGGATTAAGCCCTGAGGCACCGCTGAGCATCTATCTTCAAGTCTCTGTGTAAGATCAGACGTCCATGGCAGAACTCAGTCCCCCTGCGATGCACAAACCACTGTCGTCAAGAGTCACAAGATAAGCTGAGGCAAGCCGCTGACTGAAAAGATTGCAGCTTCCACACCCGCTTTCTCCTCTTTTCTGAAATAAGTCTTAAGTCGGTGTCGAAGAGCACCAAGACCTAGCTATTTACATTTCACCTGGAACCAGCATCAGTTCCGAGCACTTGAGACACCGGTGGTGGTGTCTTCAAGGCGTGAGCAACCGGCGCAACAAGCACTCCAAAGATCTTTGACATTCGGAAGTGCTACTTTAGAAAGTCAGGAAGCTTCTGTCTCTCATCCAGCCACATATGGGCGCATTGTCTCACTGTGTCAGATGCTTCATCCAGGAACTGGTGGCCATCGCCGTTTTGGAGCCAGTACAGACTCACTTTGCCTTGAGCTTGCAACTCACCTCCTCACTCTTTGCCTTTTCTTACAGTTTCTTGAAAAAGCAATCCTCTAACTGCCGGCCAAGCAGCATCTTGCCAAGGAAAACATTTGGTGAATAGTTTCCTTACTGCAAATCATCTACCGCAGCTTCGGGGCAGAAGTCGGGTGGCGACGGTGCATCTTTGCCAAGCTTCAGGAAATGATATGGGGATCTCCTGATCGGCCTTGTCATAGATAGCATGTAATCTAGTGTGTGTCCTTCAAAGTGCAGCAAGAGAATGCAAGAGCTAGACATGTACTGTTAGTTGCATATTTGTCGTTGAACATGTTGAAACCGTTTGACTGAATCCTGCAGTCCTGACTTGTTGAGACAATCGTTTCCCCAGCATCGATGCTGCAGGAATTCCACTGTGACAGAATGCCACGGCATCGATAGGCTTGTCCTCTCAGAATTTCTTAGGACACCGATGTCCCAAAATCCAAATCTACGCGTGCTTTGTCATGACACTGAGCTTGGTCCATAAGGCAAAGAGCTGCATAAAGAGCCACAACACCTGCATTTTCACTTTCAGCTTGCGTGCTATCATTTGAAGAGAGAAGTTCCACAACTTGCACGTTCAGTGGCATCTGATGCAGCAAAGATGCCTCCCTGGCCGAAACCACCGAAGAAGAATGGCAAGGTTGAGCTTCCTCTGCTCCAACATGGGATTTTGTTCAGCACTGCATGGTGGCTCCATGTCCAATTCCACCACCAATGCCATCACTTGTCGCATTTATTGTTGGACATGCAACAGCCCATGACAGATTATGTGAGTTGCGCCACATTGGGATGCAGTGAGTGCGGTACAATGCAACACCAGCGTTTCCCAATCATTACCATGATCGATGCTGAGGTTGTCTCTTCAAAAAAACAAAAGGAATGTGTGTCACGAGCCACAGTGGCTGGTGAACCACCTGAAATATCTTGTTCGCCGTAGATAGGATTTACAATTGTACAAATAAAGTCACCCAGGCTGTGCTTGGAAGCATTAGCACATTGCGTTGATGATGCGTGCAAGAGAACTTGCATTATCAGCATCATCAAGTGGCTGAGGTGCTTAACTCAAGTGCTTGATGCCTTTTCCAGTTCAGCAGCACTTGCAGCTTGCATTTATGATAGGAGCAAGTTCCGCTACGTGTCTCACAGACCCAGCCAAACATGTGCCGACACCATCCTGCAAAGTGTGTTTTTGATTCAAGTTGTCGTGCACGAGTTGTTTCGAAGCACTGCTGGGAAGTAACCAAGTGTTGCTTGTGCAGTCAAGAGTCGTGACGTAGTCTTCAGCTGCTTTTCTTCAAGTTGCCTTACACATTTACAACAAACAAAGTGACAAGAGCAGCGTAGCCAGATGCTTTTGATCAGTGCTTCTCGTCCATGTTGCGCTCTTCGCTTCAGGCCCAAGGCAGCACCCTCCACTTGCTGCACTGCATCGATCTCGCTTGGCAGAAGTGGTACTCCAAAGCTCGCAACCTCCAATTCGCTGCTTTACAAGCTTTGTGCTAATTGGCTTTACAGCAGTCTGACGGGTAGCTAGTGTCCACATCCATCGATATTTGTTTGAGGAAAGTGACACCCTTGGAGCGAGATAAATCTCCGCATGGGTTCTTGATGTCGTCGTCAACAATGCTGAAGCGAAGGCCCAGCTGCCTCGCAAAGTTCTAGCTGGCATTTCATTGAGCATAACAAAACCAATCCACCCTGTAACGACTGTATGCAATCCAAGGACACAGCGTCATTGTCAGACCTAAGGTCAGTTCATTGTGTCAAGATGTCAGGTTGTCACGTCGTTCTCTCTCTTGTATGACTCGAAATGCACATTGCATGAATGCATGCAGGTCACATCTCATACCTACAGGCTGAACAGCTGTGACTTCAAGGATTCTAATGCAAAAATTCAAGAACTTGCACAAACAAACATGCACAAAGCGCATGGTAGAAAAAACAGCACGTATGTGCAAAACAAGCTGCCACTTGAGATCCTCTTCAAGCTGATGTGGCTCGAGAATAATCACACGAAGCTCCCGATTCGAGACGCAAATTCGATCCAGCCAGTGAGCATGCTCCTGTGGGATTTCGCCGCGTCCTGGAAGCCAAAACAACACGGCTTCCGCTTTCTCCGGAGAACATCCCAACTCTTGGGCAATGGCGGTTGGAGTGGAAGACACTCCCTGACTGAGCTGAAGGACGCCCTCAACATTTTTCTGATCTTTCTGACTCTGTGGATGAAGTCGGAACAGGCTTCGCTCTTTTTCAAGTCGCCACTCAACTTCCTCATCTGCATTTACGTCTTCCCACTGAAGGAAATCCAAGTCCCAGCTTCGATTGTGTCGGGATAGGTAGTCTTTTTCAAGGGATCTTTCAGGCAGCGCCAGCGCATCTCCCTCTGTTGTGTACCTTGTTGGGTTCTCTTCAAGACGTGGAAGATGCAGAACGACTGCATGTGTTCTACCAATTTGCTTCGCATTCAGGACCGCCATGTTGAAGCGCTCAGTTGTGTATTCTTTGATCACAAACTGCATCCTCTTCTGCTTCACGAGCTCTGTTACATCTAAAAGCATGTCATTCAAGATCTTTGCATTTGCTGAAACATCTCTATTGAGCCACTCATCAAAACTGAATTGTAGTAGGCTTCCCTTCCACTTCTTTCCCGTTGCAAAGGTCACAGCTTGCTGACTTGACCCACCAGCTACTCCGAAGCACACTAGGTCTGCAGTTTTGCTGAGAGTTTGTACTAGCTGATTTGTGGCTGTACCACCCACTCCATCAAGTGCCAATTGGGGTAAGGGCTGGCCCATCTCCTCAATGATTGAGCGAATGTCATCACTCGTCAGGAAGACGTGCGAAGCTCCCAAACCTTGGAGCTTTTGCTTGATCCATTCTTCCCCGGTGTGTTTTCGGACCACTGCGTAGACTTGAAAGCCCTTTGCTGCCAGCAACTGAATCAGCACCTCGGGGCTTTCAAGGCACTGCTTTGCCCCTTTTCGATTGCTGGGACAAACTGTGACCATTTGATGTAGAACCTTCAATGATTCGATGACTAGTATCTCTTGGAACGTGGTCGTGTCCTTTGTGTGAGTGTCATTTTTACCTTGGTATTGGTGTTTTGTTCCCGATTCTCTCACAGCTGGCTTTTCCTGCATTTCACCTTTTGTTGGTTCAAACAATCTGGCTGTATGGTAGTTTGTAAGTGCTAAAAGGTACCATGGACCATTGCATTATTCAACCTAGAATTGTTCAATGAACTCAGAACTGAAACGAACCCGATCATTCGACCCCGCGAACCTGCCCGATCAAACCTCGGCAGAATGCATCCGCATCCACTCAAAAGGCATGTCAGTGTGGCTGCGAGTCTCATTTTGAGCAAGGACTAGCTTATCAACGCATGTACTTGTCTTAGTGCTGCAGTGACACCATTGGCGCAATTCAGTATCACAGCATCGCCCGCAGAAAGCTTCAATGTGTGCTCCTGAAGTAGGCCAAGACGCTCAAGCAAAAACTTCAACTTGCACAAACAATCTCTCGCATCCTTCATCAAAAGGCATGCAGCTCCAATGGACTTCGCTAGCGCCTCATGTTCAAACAGGCAAAATATAACTCAACACCGCCAGTTTGCCGTTTCTACTTTGCAGCCGCAATGCCATGTTTGCAATGGTAAGTGGTGAGTCCTGGGCGGAGAGGAGCAATCAAGAGTAAGAAGCAGGAGTGCCCAAGGCAGTTTCTCACGACAAGAAGCAACATCTCTGCTGTCAGAAAGTTTAAAAAAAATGTCTAAACAAAAAAAGATACAGTAATGAAAAAGGAATGAATATGTGTTGAATGTACAACTATGCCGTACTATACTGTTGTTGTCACCTCCGAAAGGTCGGCAGGGACTGTTTTCGACTTGAACTTTGCTGCAGATGTTCCACACCTGTTGGTTCGTTCCAGAGTTTGCTCGTCTCAATTCAGCTTAATTAATATCTTCCAAGCATCGGCTGAGAACTCCAGTTTAGCGCACCTTCAATCAAACATTAAACCGTTGAGTCTTTGAGGTCTTCTGAAGACGCTCTTCTTGTCAGAGGCATTTAGCTGTGACACATCCCTTGTTTAATGTCCTTCATGTGTACCTTCGCTGTTTTTGCGGATTTAGATTTGTCACAAGTATCCTCCCGATGTCATCCAGCCATAGGCCTATCGGCTTTCCAAACACCCAGGACGCGGCCAGTACCCGGAGGCAGTGCATCCTCCCAGTCTTTTCAATTCAAAACTTAAAAACCGGCCCAAGGGATCCAAAGGACAAAGCCTGCAGACTGTCTTGTCCAAACTGCAACTTGTCAGCTAAGAGCAGTGCAGGTTTGATGCTCGAGTTCACCTTGTTAGGTTATGATTGTTGTTAGGTTGTTAGTTTGTTTGCACCTGATATTCATGATTTGCGTTCGTTGTTCCCGTCAGTCCAAGTCAACTTCGCCGTCTGCATCAACATCATGGAGTGGAAGCACCCAATCTCCTGGCTCCAGACTTAATAGGAGCAAGGACGCTACTAGGAGCAAAGGGCATCGCTACTAGGAGCAAGGACGCTACTAGGGGCTCCTGGCCTTACTACTAGGAACAAGAAGCTATTAGAAACAAGAATTAGAAATAGAAGGTAATGAGAATTTTATCTTGGGCGGCAACTTAATCTTCGGCGGCCAACCACTCAGGTCTAGCCTGGCTGCAAGTTCTTGACACGTGGTCCGACCATTCGCACTTGTCCAATTCCCTGACTTCCATAGATGTCTCCGCAGCTGTACCTCTGCGTAACATCTGAACTATGTCAAGAATCAAATGACCATCAATCTTGAACCTTTGGAAGCCCCACACCTGTTTTCTGCATTGAGGTCTGACATCCTCAGGAAATCTCATGATGTTGCCACAGTGACATTGCAGCGGATGAGATGAACTCTCTTTTGCCAGCAAGCATCGTCAAAGGTACTGCCCGGATCTGCACCAATACTTGCCCCTCTATCAGTCTGGAGTTGTCAATGAAGGGATAAGTGTCGACCTGAACGAACTGTCTTGCTTCCTCTAGCAGCTAGCATTTCCTCTAAGATTCTAAGACTTTAACTGCTGACTACTGAAGAAGCTTGGCACAAGACCAGTCGAAGTGTCCGCTTGCCCTCCTGGCACCAAGAAGCCCGCAGTATCAAACTAAAAAATCCTAGTTTCAAACTTGCTCAAATGTCCGTGGACTTCGCCTTCTCTGTGACCGTAATGTGGGCAACTGCCTGTTCGTACTCTTCAGGTACTGGCCTTTGAAGGTTCAAGCAGGAATTGCCACTGGGAACACAAGTCCAAATGCAGGTGTCACAAACCTGCAACTCTGCTTATCCAGATGTGGGCAAAATGAATACTTCGCCAAGTTGCAAAGACTCAAGCGTGCGTCCTTCCATCATGGCTTGTAATGCTGGGGGTAGCTGCACCTGAACTGCATGAAACCCGAAGAATCGCTTCAGAGTAACACAAACTTGTACAGTGCTCGATTGCTAGAGCGATTGCTAGAGCGTCTCAAGACCTTGACATCTTTTTGAGTGGTCTCCTTTGGCTTGGAAGGAGCCTCAAACTGCTCAAGCCGCTGAAGCCCATCCAGTGACACACATAGCATCTATATAGGTGTCCGCTGTGTTACACTTTGAGGTGTTCCACTTTGAGAAGCTCTTAGGGACCAGCTTCACGTGGAGCTCCGCATTCCTCAACTTGTCCGAATGGTTACCAAATAAAATTCTGGACGTGGAAAGCCAATATTCAAGTGATTCATGTCTCTGTCCTGGCAAAACTTTGCTGCAGGGCTTAGCTCCGCGTTGCACTTCCAACATCGCTGCTGTTGTTCTTCCTAAAAAGTTGTCTCATTCGTCTCACGGATAAATCAAGCTGACCTCGCAGGATGAATCGTGGCTCCTTCGGTGGAGTTGGAACGTGAGCTGAATCTTCATAGTAGGAGCGGCGTGCTTTGCGCACCTAAAGACAGACAGCACGAAAGCATAGGGCAATCCGCTCAACCATTTCAAGCATGAGCGACATGGTTTAAGTGCTCGACATCTTCCGGCACATCTGTTTTTCCTGTCTCATCATATCTCTGTCTCAACGTGACCTGCTCAGTTGGAAACTAGCACGCGGTCACATTTGTTACTACAGTAGTAGCTTCTAGCTACTAGTAGTAATGCCCTTGTTACTAGCAGTGATGACCTTGTTACAAGTAGCGATGCCTTGTTACTAGTAGCGATGCCCTTGCTACTAGTAGTGTGGCAACGGTCTCCGAAATTGCCAAGTCACACTGCATAAAATCTGATAGGCCGCTTGCATCTCTGCGAAAGCTTCAGGGTCACCACCTACCCGCTGCTTTGGTACCCAAATAACTCCGGAATGGCAACTATGGCTGTAACAGCTATGATGGTTAGGCTCATGCACCCTTGTCAGGATGAAGTTGAACCGCAAGCTTTCGATACGCCGCACGAATGCCGGATACACTCGCATCCTTAGTTCACCAGCTGTATCCCTCTGCAACTCTGGTGTGAGACAATGCATATTCTATGAAAACAATTCCGGAACATGCAAGAAGACACTCGTTCTAAGCAATGGTTGGTCAACTGCTTGAAAGTGAACACAGCTGGATCAGCAAATATCAGCCTCTTGCGGTTAATTCACCCATTCGGCTCACTCTGAATTTCACTGAAGCTAAGTTGAGGTCCTTCGCCACGCCCAAGATGTCATAAAGAGTTCTGTTTGGCGACACCATGGCGCTTGTGCTTTTGAAGGGCTGCTTCCCACACGTCTCTGCACGCAACAAGACACACCTTCGCTGTGACTACTCGGCTATCTTTTGTGGAAAACGTTCACATGCTGTCAGGTTAAAGCTCATGAGATACATGAGTGCTTCGTACTTGCCAGTCGGGCCCATATGAAAGAGCGGCAAGCAGTTGTTTGGTGAACGCAAGGAAAGTCAGTCCGGACGACTCTCAGTGGCCGCTATAGAAGACTAGAAATGGCGGAAGGAAGGTCACCTGATGCACTGCCAGGCCGCGTTCTTCAAGGCCACCAGATTCTTGAACGCACCATTCCTTTCCATGCCACAAATCTTGACACCTTCCAACCGCACAACAACCCAGAAAATCGTCAGCGTTCTGCTATCGTCCTTTTCAAGAAGATCCGCAAATCCTCAGGTGGCCCAAGAACAATAGGTATTCTGCTACATGCTGCCATGTAGAATCGAGCAGTATACAGGTTCCCGGCCATGTCCACGTACTCAAAGACAAGGTACAATGCACGCTCAAGAGAAAGCACTTCATAGAGCCTCCGAATTTCAATGGCCCATGGCCAGATGCCTTTCTGTAATGCAGGGGGCTTGTAAACTGCATGAACCTGCTGTGATTCAGGGATCCTTGTACTTTGGTTGCTCTGGTTAGGATGATTGGAGGCAGTACTGAGTGCCAAAATGACAGCTCTAATCATGCAAAGTAGATGCCTGATCACGTTTGGATGGTGGCATTCCTTCAGCAGTGACACCTCAGAACTCACATGAGGATAAACTTTGCAAAAATATATAAAGTTATGTAGAGGTCCGAGCCTCTCGTATGGCGGTAGCTGGTACCTGGGCAACTGGCCAGCTGAACTCTTATCACAACAAAAGCAACTGAGAATCAAACACCATCTTCATCCATGACAATTGGAATCCTCTTCAATGCAAACACCTGGGGATGAACAGCAGAGTTCAGCAAGGAAATACCAAAACGATCACTAAGTCTGATCAGAAAAGAAGCACTGTATCAAACTGATCAGACTTGCCTGCAGTGTCCCTTTGCACGTTGCTTTGTAAACCTGAGGAAAGAATGCAGTGGAAAAAATTCGAGAGCACTCTTCAGCCAAACGAAGCCGGGGCTCCGGCCTTTCCGTAGGTTCCTTCTCCAAGTTTCTGTATAACATGAAATCTGCAACCAACCTGAGCCATTTACTGATGGTCTTGACCCATGTGTTCTCAAGTATTGTCTGATGTTTGTGTGTGTGTGTGCGTGTGTTCAAGAAGCCTCGGCGGCAGCTTCATCTTCATCATCTATCATAGCAATCTTCAGCAACTTTGTGTTGCTCACCTCAGATGAAAAGAAGACTGGATCAGTCTGGATGCCTTGGCCATCGCGAAGAGGTCCGGGTGTTGGGTCCCCACGCTAGTCAGCTCATCTTCATTTGGCTCATCCAGCTCCAAGAGCCCACTAAGATCGAGAGCCAAATGTTCACAGCGGTATGACAGCTCTCGTTTTCACAGCGAAGTCAAGCGTCTACACTGGCCAGACCAAAGTGTGCTCCTTGAAACTTAAACTTGCCCCGGTTATTTTTCACACCGGAAAGCCTTTTATTGCTTGAAATCTAAAACACTGTGATGATTAACCGCCCCACACCTGCCACGAAGATTGGACTTGCAGAAACTCTTATCTGCCTAAATATTGGATTGACTTCATCTTAACTTCAATTTGCTGAGAAAGACGTTTTGCACTTGCGGCGCCCTTGCTGCTTTGCAGCAATCCGTTGGTTACAACCATTCAACCTATCCTTCTTTCATTCTGACGGTCGACTCTTACACAGCTGCCCATGAATCCCAGTAAAGATCAAAGTTCACCAGCCTTGTACTTGTGTTGCTACATGCTACATTATTCCTCAGACAACATGGTTTTTCCACCGCCCGTTGCCCGATCATCATGGAGTCGCACAAATGACTGGCAGTCATGTGCTGACAAAAGAGACCATGGCAAGGCTGAAATATCCTGTCTTCCGCCAAAAACCTTGGTGTCGCTTTAAAGCATTTGATTGCACCTCACAAGCCTCGCTCTTCAAGAAGCAAATGCTGCATGACATTTAACACCTAATTGTGGTTGACTGTGCTTGCATGTGGACGTGCAAACCTTCGTTAGTTCCGGCAGGCATCGTTGGCCTGCACACATTCTAGAAAAAAAGCTCTCAACGGCCCATCATGCGCCAAAGAAGTCCTCTCTTCTTCTTGGCAGCTTGAGGACTTCCGCTGAAGGACTCCAAAAAGGAAGCCACTTGGACATCTCCTTGGCTCGTTTTTTGTGCCAACCACATGGCCATCTGGATATTGCCTGGTGGCACTCCAGCGGATTGCAATGCCTCCATAAAATCACCAGGCTCCAACGTTCGAGACTCGGCTTCAATCACTTGGTGGTGCAGCACTTGCCGCAGCGCATCTCCACGGATGCTTCCCTGTGCCCATTCAACATGACTCTTCCAGACATTTTGACTTCGAAGTTGTGTCATGTTGGCAGCAAGCGCTTCTACACTCCCACAAGCCGCAAGAATTGAAACAGCCTCTCTTCGAGATAGACCCAAAGGCAAAGATGCCATAACGGCGGCCAATGTGGGGATATCCAGACCTTCTCCCCACAAGCTCAGCAGGGCAGGCAAATGATCTGCTTGGAAAGCATGACTTTCCATGACGGAGTCAGTTCTGGCACACACAACCTGAATCTCCTCCGCTGTAGCATCAGCAACTTCTTCTGCTGGAGCTGGTAACACACCCCCGGGTACCGATTTTGGACACAGGGACCCGCTGAAACGTTCTGCAAATTCTTCATAGTCGACTAATCCTCCGGAGTTCTTGTCAGCCATGAGAACCAGAGATGTCAGCTGGTCTGACCTGTCAACAAAACTGTCAGAAGAGCAGAATCTTGACAAGTGAAGGAATTAAGTAACTTGTTTAAGCAGTTGACGTAAGGTACCGCTCAGTCTCCATGATGACCCTCCTCAAGTGTGCTCCGGAATATGTTCAATCTGCAGAAACACTCAGTACATCTAAGAGCTCACTCTCAATCAACACATGCCCACCTGAAAGCCGTTTCAGGTGCAAGTCGCGTGCCACCAGTACAGCGCCGTTGCAACTCAGAACCTACAGCAACACTTGAATTGAAGGGGGCATGGGAAGGTGAGCCGAAGATGACAAGTGGCAAAACATGGCAAAACAACACACCTGAACACGCTAAAATGCCATCTACACTCCAACTCACTATCGTGGAAGTAAATAGTGTAACATGTCTCATCATGCCCGCAGCAGACGTCGACCTTTGTCCGAGGGGGTCCTCAATGAAGCAGCTAGCGGCTAGCTAGTGGCAAAGTGAATTTGGTCGCTGGTGGGCTGTCAGCGCTCACTGCTGGTAAGGTGTGGTGGTTCCCTCGCTCGTGAAATCACACGTTGTCACACGCTGGTACAAGTAAGGCATTGATGAAGTGCCCGCACCGGTGCTGAGGGACGTTGTTATGTGCAGGGGCATTCACATAAGCTGCGAACAAAAATGCATATCCTGCATTGCGGACCTTTTACTTGAGATGCAACGGCCTTGTTTGGTACACTTCTCATTTGTGCTGTGTCATCTTGAATGACATGTGAGCACGTTTCTCCATGCTACGCACTCCTCCTTTTGGAGTGTGAGCCATGGATCCACTCCAAACCGGACCTTTCAGTTCAATGGATTCACTGGGTCCATGTATGGAAAAGTGTCCTCCATAGCTCTATACATCTGGCTTTCGAGCTCTGAGTCTTTGACTCGAACTGCGTGATACCAAAGCGCTTCAATCTTCAAAAGTTCCTCCCGTGCCACCAGGTCTGCTCTCGTCACAACCTTGTTGTAGACCTGGAACTGTGCTGGTGGGATTTCAACACGATCTGGCTCCCAATCTCCTGTGTGGATCATTGGTGGCCCACCTTGGTCACTACTTTCAGCCATACTCTCATCACTCTCTTCTCCTTCAGCAGCTGGAACTGGTTCTGGTTCTGGATTCATTGGAGCATCTCGTGATGACCCCACATCAGGACCAGCAGTGGTCGTCTCAACATACTCCACTGGAATAGTGACCACTTCGCCATTGTCCAGCCGAATTGAAACAGTGTCCCCACTGAGGTTTTCACCGCTTAAATCTTCTTCTCCTTCACGTGGTGCAGCTCCAGTGGTTGTAGGTCCACGGCCTTCAACCATCGCCCTCTGGTCAGCTGTGAGGTTAGGAAGTCTACTTCTCTCTATGTTTCCTCCCCGCTCACCACGTATTCGCTCTTGGTCTCTCCAGCGTTGTCGAAGTCTCAACCCCTCATGTCTCCTGTTCACTGCCTCCAGGTACTGCAGGTAGTCCCACTCTGTACTAGCCACTGAGCTTGCTTCCACATGCCCACCTGCAAAGACTAAACCTCTGTAGATGCGCTCCATGAAAGCTTGAGCCATCGACTCCTCTCTGCTCTTCTCTTCCCTTTCAGCTTCAAGTTGAGTGACATATGCCTGTAGCATGTCCACCCTTCTCTCAAGCTTCTGAAACTTGTTCCAAAGAAGCATCGCCACAAAAACCAGTGCACCAATCACGATGATGAAGATCAACATGTAGAAAGGAATCTTGTAATTGGGCTCGATCATCACCATGTCCGTCGTCTCTCCCGCAGCCAGCTCAAGGCCGCTCACCATCATCAACCTGTTCAGGTACTTGGCAACTTTCATGATCTTTCCCTTCTCCACATGCTGCTCCTGGAACTGTTGGTGTTCCTTCTCCCCAACACGCTCTCCATCTCCATCTCGTGCATGGCACCAGAAAAGAAGCAAACGTAGACGAACTTTGGAAAGAGGTTTTGTGCCTATGTCGGCCAGGTTGTAGGCTGTCCCTGTTTGTTTGACTTTTAGGGATCCATTGGCGACTCGATCCTGGCACCACAAGAGTTTGCCACTGATGTGCCTCAGTCGTCCAGCTCCCCTCTTACAAGCAATCTGTCGGGTTGCTGAGTTGTCCACCCAGCACACATGCTGAACCTGCTCTCCAGTGAGGAACTCGATGACGTGTTTGAGGCATATCCCATCACAAGCGCCAGCTACCAAAGCGTGTAGTTCGCTCTCTGCAAAGGAAAGACTGACTACCTTCTGGCCTCTGGAGGTGCTATAGATGATCACGCCATTGAGGGCATGAACCGACGAAGACGTTGATTTCCTCGTTGCTCGATTGCCACTCCAGTCAGCGTCCGTGTAGGACTCTAAGATCCAAAGCTCATGAGACCGCATGTGCATTCCCTGTCCTCGTTGAGGAAGAAGAAGTAGGATATGCTGACTCTCGGTCTCCTTGAGGTAGCCCACGAACTTTTGCACCTTTAGGAGTGAAATCTCTGTAGGGCTTGACATTCGACTAGCCAGCTCCTTGACAACAAAGGCCACATCCATTCGCTTCTGAGCAAGGTAGATTCCCATGCCAACTATGGACCTGAATATGGCTGCATCTTCTGGAGAAGCCAAGTTGGAACCGTCTGCATCTTGGATGTCTGAAGTTGCTGGCAGCTTTTGCTTCCTTGCCGGTCCAAAATGGTCCTCATAGGCCTTGATGATGTTTGCAGCATACTGACCTGGTTTGATCAGCAAACCATCCTCCACGTAGATATACTTTCTCTTCAGGAAGGAAAACTCTTGTCCATACTCCTTGACCATTGTCACATCGACTTCAAATTTCTCCTTCAACTTCGTGACAAAGTCTTCGACCGCCTTCTGCCTTCCTGTAAACATCACATCGTCTACGTGGATGAGGATGCAGACCAAACTCTGTCCATCACCTTGCTTTCCCAGGCATGGGTTGATCACATCGAACTCAAAGTTCAACTCATCTGCCAGGTAGCCGCGTAGATGCTCATACCAAGCCTTTGCCCCAATTCGCTGACCTGGAAGATTCTTTAGGACCTTGTAGCGTCCCAGTGCAGTGCTGATTTGCAATGGTCTTTACTGCTCAACTTGTAGAAAGGCATCCTTGATGTCCAATGCACCAATGACCGGTGGCCCATGTTCACCCTCCATGACCACGTTGTTGACCACTGAGTTTAAGAACAAAGCTGGTAGCACTCTCAGTACATTGTGTCCTGACGCTGGGCTAAAGACATCGTCCCGCTTGTCATTGGCGTATTCTCTTGCGACCATTCTCGACCTCCTCAACCATCTCTTTCTGGGCGATCCTTCACTGGGCGCATAGAGTTTCACTCGCCAGTCATGAACAAAGCGGGTCGTTAGCCTGTCCAGCCAAAAGTCCTCCATCTTGAGGTTCTCCAGCACACCCATCCTCATGAGTCGTTGTTCCTCCACCTTGTTGGCCAACATGTCAACTTCTGGAAGTGGTTCTGGTGGCGTTCTGAAAAGTGGTTCATCACTCCATAACTCTTCTGGAACTGCCCGTGGCAAAAAATCTTCCACCTCATCTTCTCCATCTTCAATGGCCAGGGCCTCTACATCCACCACCTCATCCAGATGGTACATGGTCTCGTCCTCAAGGCACACCTTCTCCACTCGCCTCTCCACATTGAGCTGATGCATCTTCGAACTCGATGAACCCCCTGCGCCTTCTCCATGCCTTGCACGTTTTGCTTCAGGCTCTGCCTTGACTGCACTTGCTGGCGGCGGTAGCTTTCGCAAAGCTCTTCCTTCAGGAGTTGGCTCTTCCTCTTCCCATGGCAAAGGAGGGATCACCATGGGCACATCTGCTTCTCCTCCTGAGCCCCTTGCCCCAGTTTGCTCTGCAGGAACTGGAGGTGTCTGCATTCCTCCACTTGGCACTTCATGTTGCGGGGCTTGTGGTGCTGGCTCACCTTCAAGTGCATTCAAAGTCTCACCTGCAGCTAGGCGCTCTTGGGTCACCTCTTCGATCTCATTGCGGCTTTCTTCTTTGCCTTCCTTCGACAGGGCATAGCGCTCCACCTCCTCTGCTTCAGTATCCCTGTAGCGAAAGAAGACCTCCTCCTTGGGCAATGCCTTAGTCATTTGTTGCTGCCCTCTTGCTCGGGACAATTCGTCCTCCAGAATTGACCTGGTACTCGAAGGATGCCGTGGTGAAGTTCTGGTAGTAGGCAAGGAAACTTCTCCACGGCCTTGCCACTCTCCTCACTGAGCGCGTAAGCATCACCTGAGACCCATCTCCAACTATCCACGAATCCTGACCCTCTGTCTTTCCAAGGAACAGGCTCATTCTCCACCTCGCGTTGCCCTTTCCAGACTGAGGTCGAACGAAGGCATACACAGGACATGCAAAGGGCACCAACAAACCATCATAGGCCTTGCCGTGGATGAGCTCGTAGCTCGTTATCCCTCTGCTAGCTTGGTATCTGTTGAGCAACCAGCAAGCATGTCGAGCGGCCCAACTCCACAAAGCATGGTTCGTGTTGTAGGGAAGTCCTGTCTGGCTCCTCACTTGCTCCATCAAAGTGCACGCCAAACCTCTGATCCTTTGGATAGCATTTTCTGCTAAGCTGTTTCCTGCTGAGTCTCTGACCTTGGTGGTGTACAGTCGAGTTCTCAAACCCATAGCATGGCGACTGTTGAGAATGATTCTCAGCAAAGTGCGGATTGTTGGCTCGTTGTCACCGTACAGTCCAATCTCGACGTGTCCAAGGTTCTGCACAAAGGTCATCACCTCCCTAGCCATCAGATTGAGTTGACCCTTGGACTGCAAAGGAACTGCCCCAAGGGTCCCAGTCTGGCTGCAAGTCATAACAAGCCAAACAGTGGACTTCACCTCACGAATCCTCACTGCTTCCTGGCCTTCATCTTGTCCAGCCTCGTAGAGGCCTACCACCATGTCTTCCTCAATCTCTTGGCCTCTGTCGACACGTTGTGGCTCTCTCTCCACCTCTCCAGCCTTCGTGTAAGCAAAGTCCAGAGAGATGACTGGCACACCGCCAATTCTCGAAGCTCCCGTCCTCATGTGACGGTCTGGCCTCCCACGATGCTTCAAACA